TGGGGTTGTTTAGCCTGGAGAAGAGGAGGCTGAGGGGAGACCTTATTGCTCTCTACAACTGCCTGAGAGGAGGTTGTAGCGAGGTGGGGGTCAGTCTCTTCTCCCTAGTAACAAGTGATGGGACGAGAGGGAACGGCCTCAAGCTGCGCCAGGGCAGGTTTAGGTTGGATATTAGGAAAAATTCCTTCACCGAAAGGGCAGTCAGGCACTGGCACAGGCTGCCCAGGGGAGTGGGTGAGGCCCCATCTCTGGACGTATTTAGAAGATGGGTAGATGTGGTGCTTAGGGGCATGGTTTAGTGGTGGACTTGGCACCACTGAGTTAACAGTTGGACTTGATGATCTTAAAGGTCCTTTCCAACCTAAATGATTCTATGATTCTACAAGTGTGTGTTGGGGGGGTCCCTCACCTACAGATACCACGGAGGGGAGGGAAGGGGGATGTCCCCCAGGGGCTTTCCCTGTTTTGGGGGCTTTCCTTGTGGACCGTGGCAGGGACTGGGCTGGAGGCGTGTGGGGCTGTTCTGTCACACAGCGAGTGGGTGTTCCCTGCCCAGATTTAGACTATTTGGGTACCTGTTTTTACGGCTCGCTTGCAGCCACCGGAGGGAAACGGGCACTCCTCGCTCCGTATTGGCTGATTAAAACAGAGCAGCCGGCTCAAGTCCTGCTGTGTTCCTTCCTCTCGGACCACGGGCCTAGTTTGTAGCCTGGGTCAGTTGGCCTTTACACTGTAGATGCTTGCATTTAGATTAATTAAACATTGATGCAGGGTGGGCATATCCAGGGGAAAAAGACGGTTGAAAAGTAGGAGGTTGTGGTCCGTAAAACAGGTGTGGAATGACACTTGTAGCAGCCAAAACCTTTCTCCTTGGCTGGGAGGGAGGCAGGCAAGAGAGAGTGGGATGCCTCTGTATCCCACAGTCCTGAGAGGAAAGGGATTTTTTTGTCAAAAATTGCCAGACATACACCCTTCCATGTTGTGCGTCACTATTTTCTCTGCAAGAAAACACCTAAAAAACAGACAACACTTAAACTGGCAGAACACCTAGAACCTCAACCTGTTTCAAACACTATTGAAATCACCCAAAGACCTGTCAATTTATTTTGAGCTGAACAGGGATAAAAATAATGCTATGACATTAAATAAGACTAAGACAACCGCAGAAATCTGTAAGACTACTAGACAACTATTCACAATAACTTGCTTGAGCATCAGGTATTGTATGATATTACTGTTTTGACCTGTTGCTGAATCATGACTGTTTACGACATAGACACTGCAAGGTGGGATTTCTTTCTTGGAGCCTCAGTGTTACCTCTTACATGCCCAACCTCTGTTGAACTTCAAGAGAGAATCAAACCAAAAGGCTATGGGTTTGAGCTTTGGTCCATCTTGGAAAATAATGTGCTCTTAACCGTAAAAAATGACAGTCTATGATAGAACAGAGGTTAGGACCGAATAAATCAAATTCATATTTTACATTTTCCACCCCAGTCTTTCATGTCACAGGTCTGACTAGTTCAACAATCCCCGTTCAGATTTAACAGTGTAGAGCTCTTACTTATGTAAAAGTGTAACAGAAAAAAGGCTACAGAACAGTCCTTTCCGGAGGATTTAAGCTGGTGAGTACCTTACAGAGAAACCAGAAGATGGTCTCATGGAAAGGAACAAAGTGCAGTCGTGTGTTACAGTAGAGGCACCTGCCGAGATGAGAACAGAGGAGAAAGCTGCAGTTACAGAATAAAATGACGGAGTTTGACATTCAGCGCTTTTTCTTTCATCAGTAAATCCGTAGTGTGCTTTCTGTGAGCAGCAAACCGCAGCAAGAGTTCATTGTGTGCCTGCCTGCTGCTTTCAAGCTGTCGTTGGAGCTCTCGGGCCTTCAGGTTGTTGTCCACTGCTGCCACCTCTTTCACCAGGCGCTTTCCTGCTCTCTGCCTGGCTTTTTCTGCCCTCTCCAGCTCCTTCCCCAGCTGCTGAATTTCCCGTTCCTTATCTTGCAGAGCTCTGCCCCTCTCCATGGCCAGGTTCAGTAGTCGCTCCTTCTCCTCGTTCGCTCTCTCCAGCTTGGCCTGCAGCTCGCTGCCCTGAGCCCTCTGCCGACTTTCTGCCTGCTCTACCCGCGCAACAATTTGTTGGTGCTTCTCCTGTAGGCGTTGCAGCTGGTTTTTTAGTGAATCGACTTCCCGGGCGTAGGCACTTGCTTGCTGGCTCTGACCTTCTAGCAGCTCCTTTTCTCGCTCCTGGGCTCTGCGGCTCTCACATTTCTCCTGTAAGGAGTCCAACTGCTGCGAGAGCTTTCTGGCCTGGGCAGCGAGCTGGAGCGCTTCAGCTTCCTTCTCCCTGACGCTGGCTGGAGAGCGCTGCCTTCTCCTGCCACAGGCGCGTGTTCTCCTCCCGCAGCTGCATACACCGTTTCCTGTGTTCGTCCTTGAACTGGATCATTTTTTTGTGGTTGTTGGCCAGACCCGTGAAGCGCCCCTCCGAATGCTGAATCCGTTGGGTCTGGGATTCCATTGTGACAGCATCCTCTGTCCTCAGTTTCTCCAGCTCCGCGGTGAGCGGCTCCAGGCCTTTGCAGCGTTTGTGTGCGTTGTCTGCTTTTTTCTTCAGCATACAGATAAGGTGATGCTGTTCTTCTAGGCGTGAATGCAGCAGAGCCTTCTCGCTCTTCTCCTCTTCAGGGCTCTCACAGAGCTCCTCCAGGCCTTTTGTCAGATCTTCCACGTCTTTGCCCTTCTCTGGATCACTTGCGGGGTTGGTCGTCCCCTGCCTCTCATCCTGCGCCACGGAGCCCCTGTCTCACGCAAAGATGAGATAAAATTTTATAGTGACCGCTTCTCTTGGTGACGTTCAGCAACATTAAACAGTACCCAGTGGTTCTGTGGCCAGCGCCGCTGCGATAAGCTGGTGGAGTTCCTCTGGAAGTCCAGAGGATGCAAAAGCAAAGAGTGTAGGCTTAGTATTTATGCAAGCCTATTCAGCTGCTGATTGCTAGCTTTGCTAATTAGCCCTTCTCAAAGCGCTGTTGTTGTAGCTACAAGAAGTACTATTATATTTAGGTGCAAAGCTTGTAAGTGATAAAGCTGTAAATAATTCCATAAGCAATCCTTTTCCTCTGCCTTTATTTTCTCCTACAGATCTGGTATTATAAATGCAAGTAAAACATGGAGGGTTACATCCAACTTTTAATTGATTTATAAGATTTTAATAGTATATTGCTCATTAAAAATAGCTGAATAGCCTTATCCCATGCTTAGAGATTTATGAATAAAATAAAAGATCTATACAATGCTAGTAATTACTGAATGCCCTGTGATACAAAGACTTGGTGCCTGGAGAAACGGTTCATCATTTGAGTTTTGACACTGATTTGCTGGATTATTTTAGGCCTGTAATTTTAAAAGTCAGGTTCCTCATGTAAAAATAAGGGAAATATTTATATTACATTGGCACCACAATCATTATCGGTGCCTAATCATACGGTATGCTCCCCAGACGTATGAAAAGTCAGCCTAAACCGATCTACGAGTTTTTCATTCAGGTGCAGACCTGAAACTGCAGAGCACGTGAAACAGCACGCTGATCATCAGGTTTTGTGAATTCCTGGGCTTTGACTGGAGGTAAGGATAGGACGTGGGAAGGAGCCAGCTTAAAGGAAGGACAAAAAATAACGTACAGCAAGAATGAATTAACGCCTGTGAAGCGCGGACAGTTGCAGAGCTGCGCAGCGGTGACCGTCGGTAGGGACGCTGCCTCTGTCCTGCGCTCCCCTGCCGCTGTTGCTGCCTTGGATCCTGCCAAAACATTTGGAAATAATGGAGGAGAGGGGGAAGGACTAAAAGGTTTAGGCCATCCAGTGGAAACACAATGAAGAGCAGGGTTTAAGAGGAGAAAAACGTTTTCTTACCAGCTGTTTTCTTTCCCCTGACTGCTTGTTGCCGCTCCTGCTGTGGGGTTTCTGTCTCTGTGGAGATAAGAGGCTGAATCCAGTCACCTCAGAGCTCATGCCTTCATCCCAGCTGGTTGGAACTGGGCCAGCCCCACGAGAGCTGCTGAAAGAGCTGGGAGTGTTTCTTAGCAAACAAATGCTGCTGACACTCTCGAAAGCGCCCGGCTTTGGTAAAGGGAAGAGGATTTCCACAAGTCTGAAGAACTCCTCTCTCTGGGCGTGTGCCAGAGGAGATCCGAACAGCAGGCTCTGACCTTCTCGGAAGATGCTGGAGGGCCGTGGTGAGTAAAGACAGCCCTGGCCCTGAACAACCTGTGACTTCATTCAGCAGTTAATGAAAAATCTGGCAGATAGGCTAGGGAAAGGGAAAAAAATGCAGCTGGGAGGAAAAAAGTCAAGTGCAGGTTTTGCTGACTCCACTGGAAAAGGATACAAAGCGAAGAGGAGGGAGTGATGTGGGTAAAGGATAGGAAGCGAGCAAGGCAAGGAGGGCGCGGTACCAGATCTTTCAAAATGGGTAAAATCAAAGCAGTGCGGGTTGCCGTGCCAGCTTGGGTGTGCAGGCTTATGTGCAGAAATAGCAGGTTTCTGAGCACAGAGCATGAAAGGAGAGCTGGGACGTTGCAGCCTGGTTTATAGGAAGCAAAGATGGTGTAAATTAGAACACACACAGACATATATGCATATACATATATGTGTACTAAAAAAAAACCCATTCTGGGCTAAAGCAAAGATGAGCTTGTGAAGTGAAGGGGGCGGGGGGAAAGGAAAAAGTGTTTCTCCCACTTGTTTCTCCGGGCAAGGATGGATATACGCAGAGGCATTCTAGGAGTATGGCTGCTTTGTCGTAAAGGTAATCTGGAATTAAGAATCAAAGCATAGCTATTAATTCATCAAAGTGCCCTTATACACCTTTAAAGTTTTGGTTAGGGATGACTAAAACCTTTCCTTTTGCCTGCAGAGCAAAGAAACGTCTTTTCTTGAAGCTTTTTGTCCTAATCAACTTCATAAACTTGCATTTCTCTATCAGCGTATTATTGATCTGGAACATACTACTGTAGTTAGGAATGACTATGAATTTGGTGGAAAGCTGTATCTATTGTGTGAACCACATGCAGAGAAATGTCAAAAAATACCAATAATCTTTTTTTAAAAAAAAAGTAAGTTTTGCATGACTTCAGTTAGATATTTTTAATACA